GCCAGAAGAAGCTGGAGGCAGAATATGTCAGGAGAGGGTCGAGAGCTCTTGAACCCTGGACTCGGAGGTCCAGGCACCTCGAAGGCCTCGAAGCCTCGAAGGTCTCGAAACTTAGAGGGCCTCGAATCGACGACCCCCAGCGCCGCGCCAGCAGGGGGCCTCGTAGAAGGGCGGGCCGCTGCCTGGCCCTATAGACGACGAGGACGCAACATAACTAAGCACGAGGCCGCAGGCCTTGTCCCACCACCTTGCCCGCACCACCAGGACTCTTCCCAAACATGCGACACATCTCCCAGCCGTCCTGTGGTGTTGGGCCCTCGTTCTGAGGAGACGGCGCCCCGCGCTCCTCACGCCTCACTCCTCCTTCTTCCTCGCCCCTCCTCCCATCGCTACCTTTAGGTCCGGCATGTCCTCCTACAGGCGGATGTTGGGCGAGAAAACGAAAATAGTCAAACCATTTTCAAACAGATATTCAACAAATAGTTAATGTGCTGCTGTTGTTGTTGTTGCGATTTGTTCATCTTCCTCCTGTAGAGGGACAGGCCCGACTTAACATCACCTCGGCCCTCCGCGTGCCCCTGTTTCGGCACACGCGCACACACACACACACACCCCTCGCACGTGTCGCGGCTCCGTGGGGAGCTCCGCCGAGGGCCCCAAGTGGCTGCGCTCGCATGGCACCGCCGCGCCCACTTCGGCACACCCGTCACACGCTGCGTGGCCCCATGGGGAGCTCCACCGAAGACCCCATTGGCAGCGCCCGCATGGCACCACCGCGCCCAATTCGGCACGCCCCTCGCACGTTTCGTAGGCCCCAGGCCAGCGCCCGCATAGCACCACCGCGCCCATGTCGGCACACCCTTAACACGCTTCATGGCCCCAAAAGGAGCTCCACCGAAAGCGGTCACCCACAACGCGGTACGCACAATTGCACATGGCTCGGTCTTTCGCCAGGGCAAGTGTTGTTCAACACGCAGTCCCCTGAAGTCCCGGCCCTTCCCCAGGGACGGCGTGTCATCCCGGCCAGTGTTAGGTCAGGCATTTCCCCCTACAGGCAGATCTTGGAGGAAAAAGTGGAAATAGCAAAACAATGTGCTTAACAGGTTTCAAAATTGAAAGAACAAATCGTCCCCAAACGGTTTTCTGGCCATCGCTCGGACGTCCATTCCCTGTGTTTTTTTTCCGGCTTCGTGCGTGGTGTCTTCGCCGAATGATCAGGGACGCTCCTCGACGGCCCCCGCCGAAGAGAAAATGCACACGTCCGAGCGATGCCAAGTTTTTGAGTATGTTTGAATAGTGATTCCTCCTGTACTCAGCTTAGTTACTGTTACTAATAATTCATCCTTGATTATTTTTGAATAATGATTCATCCTTGATTATTTTTGGTTTTTTTATTAATAGCTTAGCTTTAGCTTAGCGTTACTGTTACTACTAATGCTGATTTCCTAGGGGTTCCAACTCCTAGGTAGGGTCGCACTGGGACAGTTTTTGATTATTTTTGAATAATTTGTCCTCCTGTAGAGGGGCATGCCCGACGTACGGCCAGTGCCCGACGGCCCCGAAACACGCCCGGCGAGGGGCCCCGGAGGCCGAGAGCGGCCCCTTGAGCACCTATCCCGCCGCGGGCTCCTGGACGACGCCCGCACGGGGGCCCCGAGAAGCAGCGGCCGGCGGCGGGCCCCCGGAGGGTGCCGAAGCAGCACGGGGGACGGGCAGACCTCCCTTTAGTAAAACGTGGACTCGTGAAGACGACCACGGGCCCCAATCCGTGGCTCCTGGACGACGCCGGCACGGGGGCCCCGAGAAGCAGCGGCCGGCGGCGAGCCCCCGGAGGGTGACGAACCAGCACGGGGGACGGACACCCTGCCCTTCCAGGAGGGCTAAAAAATAGCGCCCGACCTGAAAGCTTATCCTAGAGCTATTCTACGTCTTGGTTTTAGGCAGTTTCGCTCAGTCGTTTAGGTTTTTAGGTCTCCAGTGCTAAACAATAGCTCTCTGGAAGGTCAGGGCAGACCTCCCTTTAGTAAAACGTGGACTAGTGAAGACGACCTCGGGCCCCAATTTGGCGGGCGCCAAGCCTGGAAAAGGGCGGCCGCGGCGCCCTCTCGAGAAGCGAAAACGGACAATTCACTAATCGACGTGTCAGGGTAGGAGGTCTGTCCAACCCCGAACAACACACACACACACCCATACCCATAGGGGGGTCGTTGGGAGGAGGACTGGCTATGGGTGTGGGTGCGGGTTGTCGGACCCTGGGGAACGCTCCCGTTCGAGCGGGGACCCCCATCCGACAACACGCACCCATAGCCCTCTCCGATCCCCCTATGGGTATGGGTGTGTGTGTTGTTGGTTCGTCAGAGGGGGCCGGGCCTTCTCGGAAGGCTCGGAAGCCCCCCCGGCCTGCTGTGAAGGTCCCTGCGGTGACGCAGGAAGCCTCTCAGGAGGCCGGAGGGCTCCTGCGGAGCCCCGCCGCCCTCCAAGCGGGGCTCCTCCTCCTCCTCCTCCTCCTCCTCCTCCTCATCCTCCTCCTCCTCCTCCTCCTCCTCCTCCCCTGACCTTCCAGAGAGCTATGTTTTAGCACTGGCGGTCTAAAAACTGAAAGTAATCGAGAGAAGCGTCCTAAAACCAAGACGCACGATAGCTTTGGGATATAGGCCTTGAAGTCCGAGGCTATTTTTCCAAGCCCTCCTGGAAGGTCAGGCTCCCTTCCCCCTTCGCTCGCCGCCGAAAGTTTGCGAGCGAAGAACGGTATAAGATAAACTTTCCGCCGTCGGGGACACCTGCCCCTGGGCGGCTGGAAAGTTTATACCCCTACGGTGCCACCGTAAGGGTATAAACTCTCCAGCCGCCCAGGGACAGGCGCCCCCGACAGCGAAGAAGTTTATTTTACACCGTTCTTCGCTCGCCGCCGAGCGAGGCCTCGGAGGGCCCCGGCGGCGCAGAGCTGCCCGCGGGGATCGGCCCAGGAGCGCGGCCCCCGCCGGGAGAGCACGGCGCGGCGCCCCGGCGCACCCACCCGGGCGGAGGCACCACGACGCACTTCATGGCGTCGCACTGGTCGGAGAGGGCGTTCCTGCGGCTGCTGCTGGCCATCGCTCGGACGTCCATTCCCTGTGCTTTTGTTCGGCTTCGTGCGTGGCTTTTTCGCCGAATGATCAAGGATGCTCCTCGATGGTCCTCGCCGAAGGAAAAACGCACACGTCCGAGCGATGCCAAGGCTGGTGCCATGTCCACCGCCAGGGAACCGACGCCCTGGTGCCCCAGCGTGCGGTGGGTATGGATATATCTATACATACATGTGTGTGTGTGTGTGCGTGTGCGTGTGCGTGTGTGTGTGTGTGTGTGTGTGTGTGTGTGTGTGTGTGTGTGTGTGTGTGTGTGTGTGTGTGTGTGTGTGTGTGTGTGTGTGTGTGTGTGTGTCGGCCCCCGGGGGGCCCGAACATGTCCACATCCACCGCCGGCCGAGGCTCCGGAAACTGACACCCCAGGCGGTGGATATGGACAAGTTCCCGCCTCGGAGCTGGGCTCCCCAGACGTGCCGCTGAGGCCCCGGCTTCTCGACTTCTGCGAGCCGGGCGCGTGCGCTCAGTCTCGAGCTCCTGGACCCTCGCAGAGCGATCGAGATCGAGAAGTGGCGCAGGGCTCTGGGGGTCAGATCGTGATTTTTCACGCTGTGGCATTTTGTCGTTACGTCGGATCTGAGAGGCTCGCGTCGTGAGCAGAACCACGACGGAAGGCTTTTGGCAATTTCCCGCCTCTGGGGGCGCTCGCTAAGACTCAAGACCGTCAGAAAACGGGGAGAAGATCCTGCCTAGGGAAAAGGGTCGAGATTTCTTGAGGCCTCGCATTGAGCATCAAGACGCAGCATGTCTGAGCCTGAAGGAGGCCCTCGATAGCTTCGGATCTCCCGGAGGCCCCGGGGGCCCGTTCGAGTCGTGGGGCGCCTACAGCAGGCACGCGTGATGAAACGTTTCTTCCTTGATTAGGCAGCGTGGGTGAGCACTTCGTGAAATATGCGCCAGCCAGCGACAAGTTCACACCCTGCACTCGAGAGCTGCCATCGAAGCGAGGCACCGCACCACGAGGCACTTGCGTTGGGTCGGGCATGTCCTCCTACAGGCGGATTGTGGACGACGGCTGAGAACTATTCAAAACATCCTCACACATGATCTACACGAGTCGAAGAATCGCCTCCAGACTACTTTTTATCATCATTATGTTTGGGACCTTCTTCCTGTCGAGGGACACGCCCGACTTCTAACACTTGCGTGATGAGACATCCTGCGAGAAGAGATCGACACTAGTCGAAGAATCGTCTCCAGACTACTTTTGTTCATTCTTATGTTGGGATCTTCTTCCTGTCGAGGGACACGCCCGACTTCTACAACGCCTGCGTGACGAGACCTCCTGCCAGAAGAGATCGGGGCGCGCCTCCCCCCTCGACCTCGCAGGGTGCCCCAGGGCTCTGCGGCCCCCTTATCGGGGGACGAGACGCTCTCGTGCGGGGCCCCCGCCCGCGGGCCCGTGCCTCAGGTGCAGTCGGCCTTGCTTGGGCAGGGCGCGCGAGAGGACACGAGGACCCTTCCGAGGGCCGCATCGCCAGACAGGCCTCGGAAACAAATAGCGAACACTCATGGCACATTCATTCATCTGTGAACGCCTCCCCCTCCCCCCGATGTTCAAAATTGGCGGTGGGTCTGATGAGTGGCACCTCGACCGCAGTCTCCCCCGCGCGCGCCAACCTTGAGTTTGGGGGGCAGGGGGGGTGTTCACTAATCGTTTCCCTCTACCGTAGGAGTGTAAGAAAGCACGTGTCGCGAGGCACAGGACACAAGGGTACCCTTGAGCTGGCAGGGTCGACCTACGAATCCGGGCCGACTGCAGTGTGCCTCTACTGCATGGGGATGTCAAAGCTGGGAAGCGGATGCGCCCTTCGATTTCTCGTGGCAGCGATGGTTTTCGAAGGTGCCTGCTGTGCCAGCGAACGCAAGAACGAGCCTCCTGCACCTCAGCCTTCTCCTCCCATCCCGCTGGAGCTGTTGACCGAGCCGGCGGGGCATCGGGCTCAGGCCAAAAGCAAAAATCGGCTGGAAGACGCTGCCGACGGTCGTGTCTGTGATGCTGATTGCCTTTTTTAGCGAGCCACTGCCTCCTATGATGATCCACCAGCACCTGGTGATCACCCTACAGAGCACGCGCTCGCCACGCCCGTGAACGCACCTCACTCATCAACTGAGGGCGGGATGATCTCGCCAGACGGGTATGAATTTGTGGTTCCGCTGCTATCTCTGATCAGAATACAGCCTGTGTCATCGACTCCCTCGAACGTGCCATCCACGACGTTGGTCTCGTGAACGCGGAAACGCACAGATGTCCCCATCAGGGCCTCAAGACTGTTCACGCGCTCTCGGAAGGCAGCGAAACCTCCGCGGAAGAAGGCTGGAAGCTCCGTCGCGAAGTTCCTGGCGAAACGTTGCCGCAGCGCCGCCACGTCGAAGTCGGCGACTCCGCCGGCGACGGCCTTCAGCGACGTGGCGGGCCACACGGCTCGCTCCAGGGCGTCCAGCTCCTCCTGGGGCGTGTTCACGTTGATGCCCACGCCTATGATGGCCACGTCCAGCCGGGCCCCAGGGGAGGGAATCGCGCGCGCGAGGATGCCCCCAATCTTCCGTCCGTTCACGACGATGTCGTTGGGCCACTTCACGCCGAAACGGAGCTCCTCCACGGGGGTGCACCAACATACGCCGCCAGCGCCTCCGCCCCCCGCTCCGCCGCCCTCTCTTTCTCCGTGCCTGTCCGGGGGGGATGATGAGATGGTGGGCAGCGGGCTCTGGTGGTGTACACTCGGCATGGCGTGAAGCACGCGGGCCCCCAGACGGAACAGCACCCTCAGTAATGACATTCTACTGGCGAAGCTTTCGGCGACAAAGCGCCAATCAAAAGGGTTCAGCCCTGGTCGCTGGGCGTTCCTCCGGGGGGCAGCCCCGTCACTCCGAGCCGCCGTCTGGCCGCCCTGGGGCCCGGGGAGGGGCCCCAGCGCCAGAACACAGTGAAGCCTGGGTTCCTGTGCTGAGCCTGTGTCCTCGTGCTGACGCCTGGGTCCTCACTGTGTCCTGGCTCTGGGGCCCCTCCGTGCTGAGCCTGTGTCCTCGTGCTGAGCCTCACTGTGTCCTCGTGTGAAGCCTGGGTCCTCACTGTGTCCTGGCTCTGGGCCCTGGGTCCCCCCCCCGTGCGGAGCCCGGGTCATCGTGCTGACGCCTGGGTCCTCAACGTGTGTCCCGGGTCCAGGACACAGTGCCCTGACCTTCCAGGAGGGCTAACTGAATGGCACCCGACTTAAAAACCTGTCCAAGAGCTGTTCTGCGTCTTGGCTTCAGGCTGTTCCGCTCAGATGTTTAGGTTTTTAGGTTTCCAGTGCTAAAAAATAGCTCTCTGGAAGGTCAGGGGTCGCTGGGCGTTCCTCCGGGGGGCAGCCCCTTCACTCCGAGCCGTCGCCTGGCCGTCCTGGGGCCCGGGGAGGGGCCCCAGCGCCCGAACACAGTGGAGCCTGGGCCTCCCTGTGCCCTGGGCCCTGGGTCCCCCCGTGCGGAGCCCGTGTCCTCGTGCTGACGCCTGGGTCCTCCCTGTGTCCTGGGCCTGGAACACAGGGAGGCCAGGGTCCTCAGGCTGAAGCCTTGTGCCCGGGGTCCTCGCCCTCGGGGTCTCGCACGCCTGCCGCGGCCTCCCTCAGGCAGTCCACCGCGGCGCAGGCGGCCACCTCGGGCGCCGGGGCCCGGGCCATCCCCCTCTCGGGGGGCTGCGCTCCCGCCCGGCCTTCCTGTGTGCGGTCCTGCCCCACCCTGACCTTCCAGGGATGGCTAAAAGATAGCACCCGACTTCAAAACCTGTCCCAGAGCTATTCTACGTCTTGGTTATTTAGTCTGTTTCGCTCAGCTTTTTGAGTTTTTAGGTCTCCAGTGCTAAAAAAATATCTCTCTGGAAGGTCAGGGCAGAGGACCCCCCACGACGGGCATTTCTGCCCCGGCCTCGGTGCCCGGGGGCGCCTTCGGGCCCCACGATCCGCCGATGACGAGCCGCAGTGGAGCGGCCGTCTGGGGGACGAGGTCGAGAGCAGAAGGTATGGATTCTGGGATGACCACAACTCGGGGTCAGCAGAGATGCCGTGGCACGGAAGAAGGCCTGCACCAACTCTCTGAAACATCCTGCCAGCCGATCTCGTCCACGCGAAGGTCTGCGGGAGGGCGCCCTTCCAGGAAACACGCCCCCTCGGGGGGTTCGGTCAGGGACTCGCCTTGGTAACGTTGGGCACGTTCTGATTCACGAAGCTGGTCGGGCAGTCCTCGGGGACCCCGAAGTTGAGCTCAATCCTTCTCCCTTCGTTATTAGCAGCCTCCCCCACCACCTCCCCATACCCCTCTTCCTAATCCTCGTCTTCACCCACTTCACCCTCCTCCACCGCCCCCCCTTCCACTTCTCATTCTGCACCTGCTGCTCCATAGAACCTTTCACAACCTCGAAAACCGACCAGATTCCTCTCTCCCTCCTTCGCCTTCTCCCTTCCGTGGTCATCGTCGTCGCGGCAATGGTGAGTTCGTCTACGCAGCCGTCGCAGTCTCCGTCGTCGCCATTCGCGTCGATCTCGCTATCGGCGTCTCTTTCTGACGTCGGCGCCAGCGCGTCGTCGTCATCGCTGCCAACGCACTCTTCCTCGGGGAAGCGGAAACAGAAATTGATCAGCACGCTCTTCCCCCGCATCGCCTGCCAGCTCCTGAGTGGGCGGGTGCGTGGGTTGGTGGGGAGCGCGCGCACGCGTGGGCTAACTACCCACTCGCCCAGGACGACAGGAAGGAGGCGAGGAGATTTGGGGGGGGATGGAGAGGGAAGCGGGGGGGATGGGGGAGAGGGAAAGAGGAGGAGTGGGAGGAGGGAAAGAGGAGAGGGGACTGCAAATGCAAGGGAAGGAGAAGGGAGTCTGGCAGGAGCGGGAAGTGGGAGAGAGTGGGAGAGGAGCGGGAAACAAGGGGTGGTGACGAGGGGGGACGGAGGAGAGGATGGGGGACGAGAGAGACAGGGGAGGCAAAGGGAAGAGGACTTGGGGACGACCAGGTTGGAAGGGAGGAGAGATGATTGCAGATGGGAGAAACGAAACAGAGGATGGGTGACGAACGAGAGTAAAGCAGAACGGATACGAGAAGACGGCAGATTGCAGATGGGGGTGGAGGAGGGGATGGTGGATGGGGAAAGAAAAAGGAAGGCGGCGGGAAGAGGGAGAGGAGGGGAATGGACTAGAAGAACACGAAGAAAGGGATGCATGTGACGGATGATGCGCAGGAGGGGCAGGGGACACAGAAGATGGGAAGCAGGAGGGGAGAGCAAGGGGCGATGATGAGGAGTAGAGATATGCACCCGAGAGGATGAGGGGGAGGAGAAGAGAAGAGAGAGAGAGAGAGAGAGCAGGGGGTTCGGAGCAAGAGAGGAGAGAGGAGGCGGCGAGGGGAGGAGGCGGAAATAGGGGTTTGAGACGGAGGGGATGGGGGTGAGAGGAGGGGAGTGGCTGGGGGGTGGGATGCGCAGTAGACGCATACGATTGGGAAAAAACGCTATCAGAAATCTGGGGGGGCTCACTTGTCGACGAGATGCTTTGTTGCCGATGGTGTCCCAAGACTTCTAAAGATTCCTGGGGCCATCGCGGAGCACCAGACTCCCGTGGGAGTACCTGCTGGCAGCTGCATTCTCAATGACTGTGCCGATTGCACCGCCAGCATCCCTTCCCGCCTCCGACAATACGAGCGGTGACATACGCACCCCACCACACGCATGACCACACGTTTGGTACAAGGGCCCGCCCTCACACAGCGAACTCCAGAGGGAGGGTCAACGTGTCGCTAATCTCACCGGAGCCCCGCAGGGCTCCGAAAGCGCGAGTAACCCCAAAGACCTCGAGGCTTCTTCCCCGCATCCTGTCCCTGGTGCCCCGCCCGGCGGTCTGGAAGTCGGTGCTCACCACTGTGAGTTTCTCCAGGTCGAAGGACCCTACCTCGCGCTCCACGTACAGGAGAACAAGGAGCGACAGAAACATAACCTTTCGGAGGGCCGCGCAGACCTCCGAAAGCTTATGCTCATACCACTTCTTGCTCTTCAGATGTAGCTGTGGGTCGAGTCGATCTCCTCGAAGTGCCTCGTGTCAATGTAGCCGCCGAGGTCATCCTCGGCCTCCTCCGCCTCGGCCTCCGTGGTGGGTCTCCCCTCGCGGCTGGAGGCTGCGCCCACCGCTGGGGGACGCCACAGCTGTGCTCCGGCGCCGTGCCCGGCCAGGCACGGCCCCCCCGGCCCCCCTGGTGGTGAGCGCGCAGGGCTCCTGACAGCCAATCTCGGCACCGAGACCCGGGAGGCAACTCCTGGAAGGCCTCCGTGAGAACGACGGGCGGCTGTCGATCCGATCCCGATGGAGGGGCCACTGAGCCACACTGGGCCGGATTTTGCCCTGGATGGAAAAAGCCAGATGAAGCCGGAGAAGATTGGATTGAGCCGGATTCAGCGGTACTATGCCAGATTCGGCGGGCTTCCGACCACGGATATACCAGCGGCGATGCTGAACTCAACCTCAGTTGCATCCTTAATCAGACGGGGTGCACGGAGCTTAAACTCGGACCCCCATCAGGGAAGAACCAGATGGTCCCCGCGTGGCCGTTGAATGTGACACGTTTCTGGCGCGACTGTTTCGCGACGCAGGATGCCTGGGTCCGCCCCCCTCGAAGCCGCCACCCAGACCCCACCCGGGGTGCGTTCCGGCCAAGGTTTCAAGGCGGATCCAGCCGTGGTGGCGAGATGCCTCTCGAGGCTCCACACTGATGAGAAACGCTCACAAACCTGTCCATGAGCCTTGACCGTGAACCCTCGACCGCCGATCGGGGTGCCCTGGACAGTCGGGTCACCACGCAGCACCGTCTGGTGAACCAGAGGTACTTCGGAGCGAGCGGGCCGTTTTGGGAACTGGCTCGTTCTCCAGAGATCTCTCGAGCACGGGGCCTTTCCGTCCGGTGACAGGATATCTGGTAGAGTCGTCGGGCGGACCCGCTGTCGCCAGGCAGCCGTGGGACCATTGATTCGAAAATCATGCCGCGGAGCGCCGCGAGGCAATGCCGGGAGGGGGTGGAGGCGTCGCCTCTGGAGGACTCGCCGAGGAGGAAGAGCCCCCAGGAGCCCCAAGCACACCATCGAAATGCTGTCGACATTGCCCAACCTTGGGCGCCCGAGTTGCAGTCGGGGCGTTGACCTAAGGAACCCTAAATAAGGAACGAGGCCCTTATTTTCCGTAAGTTAAACTTCGATGTCATATCGAAAACCTAAGGAAAATCTAAGGCAAGCTGCGAAACAATTATGGAACACGGAGCCCCTCCCCAATGAAAAGGGTTCCTTCTTCAGGGCCCCGACTGTATCCAGGAAAACTGCGGTCCAGGGTAACTCCGGCTTGGCACCCCGAGGCGCGAATCTGTAGCAACCGCTGGCCGCCCCAAACCCCGACGACTCGGGAAGTTTGGATGCCCGAACTATCCGGGATAACTGCGGTGGGGGGCGACCCCAGTTGGGAGCTGGCGACCCCCCAAGTGATGACCCACCTTCGCGGCGCGCACTGGCCATCGCTCGGACGTCCATTCCCTGTGTTTTTTCGGTTTCGGGCGTGGTTTCTTCGCCAAATGATCAAGGATGCTCCTCGATGGCCCTCGCCGAGGGAAAAAACGCACACGTCCGAGCGATGCCAGGCGCAAGGAAGCGGCGGCCTTCTGAGAGGGCTGGGCGGGGGCTTCTCTCAACAAGGCAGGGGCCTCCTCAGAAGCCGCCCCGGCTCCTGAGGCTCGGGGGCCCGGAGGCGGGGGTCAATGCAAAGGGGGGTCAGCCACCCTGACCTTCCAGAGAGCTACTTTCTAGCACTGGAGACCTAAAAACCTAAAAAGCGGAGCGAAACGGCCTAAAACCAAGACGTAGGATAACTCTGGGACAGGTTTTTAAGTCGGGTGCTATTTTTTAGCCCTCCTGGAAGGTCAGGGCAGGGCGTCGGATCTTGCAGGATCCTGCAGAGCCCGGGGCGCACTGCCCCGGGCTTGCGTGCAAGATCCTGCAGGATCGCTCCTGCAGGATCTTGCAGGGTCCTGCAAAGCCCGACTGACCCAAGACTGGATTGAACCGGGGCAGTAGATCCTCGAGAGAAGGCTTCTCAGAAACTTCCGGCCCCTGGCCCTTTCGAAAACGGCCTCTGCCCTCACCAGACTTGCGATGTCTCGATGTGCTCAAGACGCGGTCCCCAGAATTCAAACCCTTTTGCCGAAGCTGGTTCTTCACCCCGAATCGTTTTTGACCAGAGGCTTATAAAAAAACGACAGTCATGCTTTTTGAGCTACTGTCTGGGAATGCCCAGAGGTCCGACGTCGGGAACAGAACATTAAACACAATCACGGGCGGAACCCGTGACACAATCTTTCTGCGGCCTTTTTCGAGCCAGATAGATCATTGAGGGTTCTGGGGCCAGGAGCCAAGCGAAAACACCCTATTCGGAAACATGGCAACGTACGTCTGGGTCTCAGGGTCTTAGACGGGCCGTGAGCTGGAGGCCGAGCCCTAGCCGACGGGATTTTTGTCCAGACGTGGTCCCGCAGAACCCCCGACCACTTCTCTGGGGCCGCTTTTTGATCCCGAGGTGTTTTGTGACATCGGCGGCAAGCCGAGGGGGTAAGTGCCTGGCCTTCTGAGAAGTTTTCAAGACTTCCCCGAAGACGCAGAAAACTTCTAAGAAGGCGCGAGGGCTTCTGAGTAGCCCCGCCGCCTTCAAAGAGGGCCTTCTCCTGCTCACTTCCCCACCTCGCTCGCCGCCGCCGATGACAGTCCCGAGGCCAGGGAAGGTTCCCCAAAGGCAGAAAAGTAGTAGAAAGCCTCCCGCCAGTCGACGTTGCACAGCGATGCAGCCCCTACCCTCCTGCTGCACGCGAGGGCCCCAGGGCACGAAGCCCGCTGTGAGGCCCTCAGGCTGCCCACCCCGTGCGCGCGAGGCCGAGCCACAGCCTTGAGCAGGCACCGACCGTCCCGCGATTCCTGAACTGCCTACCACGCAATTTTCTTAGAATCCAACAGTGTTCTAAGAACACAACATGTCCTTAGAACATTCACCCGACGTGTTAACACGAGACGGTCTCGGCCGGATATATCGTAAGAACTTCTTGCGCAGACCACAAAAAGGTTCTTAGAACATTCTTTGGTGGGCTTAAGGAGAAGCCAGGACGCTTCGCCACTGCTTGACAGCAGGCGCCCCCCCCGCATGGCCCGCGCGGGCGCTCGCCAGCAACCACGGCCGCCTCCTGCGGGCCACGGCCGCTTCAGGCGGGACGCCGGCCAGCTGATGAAGGGAACGAAGAATGACACAAGCATAAAAAACTCGGAGGTCCGCGCGGATTCCTCGGATCCGCGCTGGGCGCCCCTGGCGGCGCCTGGCGCGCTCCGCGCGCCAGGGAGGGGGGCCCGGCGCCGATCCGAGAAATCCGCGCGGACCTCCGAGTTTTTTATGCTTATGTTGTGGATGCTAATGAAAGGTGTGTTTCATAGGTGTAAAACATGTTCTAGAACTGTTTCAACCATGTTTTTTTTTACGTGCTTCAAACATGCTTGAACCATCTTTTTTTAGACATCTGGACGGTATTTGGCAGCACGCCTCCTCTCCCTTGCATCGACTTCCACCGTGCGAAACAGCCTAAAACCAAGACGTATGATAACTGTGGGATTGGTTTTTAAGTCGGGTGCTATTTTTTTGCCCTCCTGGAAGGTCAGGGCAGGGCGTCGGATCTTGCAGGATCCTGCAGAGCCCGGGGCGCTCTGCCGCCGGTCGACACGACGCGAACCTGCCGTATTATGTCCCTCTTCGTTCCCCCACTGGTGCCGCAGGCGAGCGGTGGCGCGGCGGGCGGGCCGCCGGCGGCCCCGCGGCGCCTCGCGGCGGGAGGGCCCGAGGGAGGCCCGAGGCAACGGCGGCCCTCCCGATTTTCGCTCTGCGCAGGCGGGCTGCTCGCTGCCGCGGCTACGGTCAACCCCCTCCTCCCCCTCCTCCTCGTCTTCCTCCTCCTCCTCCTCCTCCTCCTCCTCCTCCCCCTCCTCCTCCTCCTCCTCCTCGTCGTCGTCCTCCTCCTCCTCCTCCTCCTCCTCCTTCCCACCTCCCCCTCCTCCTCCTCCTCCTCCTCCTCCTCCTCCTCCTCCTCCTCCTCCTCCTCCTGGATGCAGGGGCCTCGGGAACCCATGTCGAAGCTTCCCGACCGGGGCGCGGCCCACGGAAGCGGCCGAGGATGGACCGAGGAGGCAGGGATGCAAGGGCAGCCTTGGGAAGGTTGCCCATCCTCACTACAGTCAAAACGTATATTAAGGACGCGTGGTAAGGACGCAAGACCCTTGGAGGCTGAAGTTGGGATTTTGTTTGGGCGGCGGCGACCAGTGAAAACGGCAAAGGACGGGCCACAGAGGCAAGGACGCAAGGGCATCCTAGATGAAGGCGCGCGTCCTGACTAGGCGCGTTGACTGTATGCGGGCTGACTGTAAGTCCACCTCGAAAAGTGGGCCAACATGGACTCCGGGAGGGGTCCAGTGTTAGGTCGGGCATGCCCTCCTGCAGGAGGATTTTTTGGGCGAGAAATAAAACATGAAAAATACTCCCAGTCAAGAAAAATCAAAAAGGGCGAGAAATAAAACATGAAAAATACTCCCAGTCAAGAAAAAATCTAAAATACTCCCAAGTTGACAAAAATCGTCCCCTGACTATTTCTTCACAAATTTTGAATTGTCCCTCTGTAGAGGGACACGCCCGACTTAATTGTAGGCGCCCCCCGGAGGCTTCTCGCTGCCACGGCTAAGTCCGCCTCGAAAAATGGGTCAGCATGGACTCCGGGAGGGGTCAAGGGACGGATTTTGAGAAGACGTCGGCCTCGGAGGCGCTCCCGGGGCCCGGGGATGGCGTCGTGAAAGAATCACGCGGGATGGTTTTGGCGATGTTCGGCCTCTCGGGACCCTCCCGCCTGGGATGAAAGATCGGTCCCAGAAAATGGGGAGACCAAAGGTACTGATACCGCTGCTCCCCGGACCTCTCCCGAGGTGCGTTCTGACGAGGATTTCGAGGCGAATCCAGCGGTGGCAACGAGGTCCTCGGAGGAGGCCCAGAGAGGGGAACACGGGCGAAGGGTAGCGGTATCGCTACCTTTTCCTCTTCTGAGAAAAAGGGGTCCGACCTCTGGGGGTCTACGTGGTGAGAAAATCATGGCGTCAGTCGAATGGTCTGGGCATGGGGAAACAACCCCAAGACCCAGACAACGCTCCCCGTCGCCATGAAGCGGGTCTTGAGGGAAACGCTTCCTGAAATTTTGAGGTTCTCGGGCCATCGGGGCTCCCAGGGCTCTGGGGACCGCCAAGAGACGATTCAGGATGAAGAGCTGGTCCTGGGGAAAT